CGGCCTTTGGTTGCCTATTCTGAATTACTTTTCAGGGAAATGTTGCCATCAATTTTGGTATGCATTCAGCTCACCTCTCTGTGAAGGTGGGTTTGCTTTCAAGTCCTGGTTAGATTTCTAAATTTTCAAAAAGAATGGTAGTAAGATTCTTTAAGGCTTATCAACAACCCTTTAATGTGCCATGAAAACTAGCTGCACTGAGACTATTACCACAATTCATCATTGTTTAAAATCTTGGTTGTGAGAAATATTGTTAATGAAGAACTACCTAAGAAATAGGCATCTCATCTAGTCTAAATTGTTATGCTAAGATTAAGCCAGACCATCACTGAGATGAACGCTGTCATTATACTGTCTTATCCATTGTAGAATCTCTTTTATTTGGGCCTTTGGAAGGCTATGGGGATATATTCAAGCATATAACTCACAGATAAACGAACTGATATATGTTACTATCAGACAAACCTGAGATAAATCTATCCTGTGGGTTCTTGTGAAGATATTGTATGTGGTAGTAAATAGGATCTTCGTAGTCAATATTATCATTATATAGGGCTCTAATTAGAAGTCCTTTACTAAGGGCTCTTAAATGATCCAAATTAGAATTTACTGGGTACCTACAATAAGCCAGGCAGTTTGCTAGGCTCTGGCAAAATAAATAAGGCAAAATTATTAACTTTGAAAAAGCTCAGTCTCTAGTGGAGATAGATAACCAAACAAAGCTACCAAATAGTAAATAAATGCTGCAACGTGCTTCCCCAAGAGCAGAAGGAAGGGAAGTGCTTGGCTCTGCTGAGGGAATTGGAGCACAGGCCTGAAATGAGTCTTGAAGGAAGAACAGAATTTACTAGATGAAAGGATGGGAGGGAAAGGGCATTCTAGGGTTAGAAAACTGCACATACAAAGGCAAAAGAGTTTAAGAAATTTATGCTAGACCTGTTTCTGAGAATCAGGCTGGCAAAGGTACTAGGATAAACTATTCTGCTGAAGATAACTGGTGTGGTAAGGAATTACCAGGCCAAAATCTAAGGGGAGTAGAAATATAGGGACAAAATTTAGCACTGAAGCTTTTGTCCTAAAGGCATATGCCTGTCCTGGGAAACCTGAACTTCAATTTCGATGCTTCCTTGTGGGCTAGTGGGATACAAGTTGTTAAGGATTGAACTGTGTCTCCCCAAAATATATGTTGTAAATCCTAACCTCTATACATGTGGTTATAATCCCAGTTGGGAATGGGTTTTCTTTCTTATGTTAAGAGGCCGTTATCAGTGTACGGTATGTTTTAAGCCAATCACCTCTGAGATATAAAAAGAGCAGATAAGGACAAGCAAGTAGAGACAGGGGAAGATAGATGACCACACCACATGAAGATCACCAAGAAACCCAGGAACAAAGACCTTGTCCCAGAACCAACACAGAGAAAAAGGCTCCCCTAGAGCTGGCGCCCTGAATTTGGACTTTTAGTCTCCTAAATCGTGAAAAAATAAATTTGTTTGTTAAACACTTGTGGTATTTCTGTTATAGCAGCACTAGATAATTAAGACAAAAGTCAATGTTCAGGGCCTGCCCAAGGTAGAAAGTCTAACAGAAGATGTCCACCATATTAACCTGGGACTCTCAAGGCCTACATCAGACAGTAAGGGTAATGCAGAGGTAACTTCCACCTTATCCCAGTGGGATTGTTAAGAAATCTGTTTCAGAGCAAGGAGGAAAAAATCCATTCCTGAGAAGTTGTAACCACAAAGATACCTACTAGAAGAAGAAACAGAAAGTATATAACTTCTAAGCTAATCCAAAAAATGGTTAAAAAAAATCCAAATCTAAAAAATCCACCAACATGCTACTTACAAGAGTCATCTAAAACATAAATTAAAAGTCAAATACTAGACAAAAGAAAGCTGGTGTAGCTGTCTGATCCTATAATAATAGCTAGTAAGACTTCTCCAGCATTACTAATTCAAAAACAGTTACAGCAGTACATTAACAAGGAACTGCCAGAAATTCAAGCCAGATTCAGAAGAGGACGAGGACTGAGGAATATCATTTTGATGTCAGATGGATCTTGGCTGAAAGCAGAGAATACCAGAAAGATGTTTACCTGTGTTTTATTGACTATGCAAAGGTTCAACTGTGTGGATCATAACAAATTATGGATAACATTGCAAAGAATGGGAATTCCAGAACACTTAATTGTGCACATGAGGAACTTGTACACAGATCAAGAGGCAGTCATTAGAACAGAACAAGGGGATACTGTGTGGCTTAAAGTCAGGAAAGGTGTGCGTCAGGGTTGTATCCCTTCACCATACTTATTTAATCTGTATGCTGAGCAAATAATCCAAGAAGCTGGACTATATGAAGAAGAACATGACATCAAGATTGGAGGAAGACTCACTAAGAACCTGTGATATGCAGATGACACAACCTTGCTTGCTGAAAGCGAAGAGGACTTGAAGCAATTACTGATGAAGATCAGAGACTACAGCCTTCAGTATGGGTTACACCTCAACGTAAAGAAAAGAAAAATCCTCACAGCTGGACCAATAAGCAACACCATGATAAACAAAGAAAATACTGAAGTTGTCAAGGATTTCATTTTATTTGGATCCACAATCAACACCCATGGAAGCAGCCGTCAAGAAATCAAACGATGCATTTCATTGGGCAAATCTGCCACAAAAGACCTCTTTAAAGTGTTCAAATGCAAAGATGTCACTTTAAGACTAAGCTGCGCCTGACCCAAGCCATGGTGTTTTCAACTGCCTCATATGCTGCGAAAGCTGGACAACGAACAAGGAAGACTGAACAAGAATTAATGCCTTTGAATTATGGCGTTGGTGAAGAATATTGAATATACCGTGGACTGCCAGAAGAACAAATCCGTTTTGGAAGAAGTATAGCCAGAAAGTTTCTTGGAGGCAAGGATGGTGAGACTTTGTCTCACGTACTCTGGACATGTTATCAGAAGGGACCAGTCCCTGAATAAGGACATCATACTTGGTAAAGCAGAGGGTCAGCAAAAAAGAAGAAGACCCTCAATGAAATGGATTGACACAGTGGCTGCAACAATAGGCTCAAACATAGCAATGATTGTGAGAATGGTGCAGGACTGGGCAGTGTTTCCTGTTGTACATAGGGATGCTATGAGTTGGAACCAACTCATCAGCACCTATCAACAACAGTGCTTACTAAGGAGCCCCGGGGTGCAGTGGTTAAGCCCTCGATTGCTAACCAAAAGGTCGGTGGTTCGAACCCGCCAGTTGCTCTGCAGGAGAAAGATGTGTATATATTATGTCCAAATATGGATATGTCCATGTCTGGTCTTTCTGTTCCTTCTATACTAAAACTAAATGCTTCAGTTCATCAAAAAATAGCATAAAGACAATGAGAAAACAAATCATGCAATGAGAGAAGGTATCTATAAACTATCTAACAAAGGACCAGTACACAGAATTTATAGAAAATTATTACAAGTCAAGAAGAAAAAGACAGGTAACCCTACAGAAATATGGGTAAAAGATTTGAACAGGCATTTGACAAGAAGAAATCTACGTAGCCAATAACCATACAAATCAGTACCCAACTACATGAATCATTGGAGAAATGCAAATTAAAACCACAATAATATATAACTTCACTCCCATTAGACTGACAAAAATTAGAAAGTCTGAGACAATACCAAGCGTTGAGGAGTACGTGGATCAACAAGGACTCTCATACACTACCGGTAGAAGTGTAAATTGGTAGCACTTTGGAAAATGGCTTGGTTTTAGCTAAAATTGAAGTTATGCATACTCTATGATCCAACAATTTCCCTCATAGGTAAATATTTCACAGAATAACCTGGTATATCAGGAAATATGTACAAGAATGTTCATAGTAGCTTCATTTGTCATAGCTACAATTAGAAGCAATCCAAATGTCCATCAACAAAACTATGGGTATATTCAAATGGAACACATCATAGCAATGAAAATGAACAATCTATAGCTACTGGCAAAAACATGGATTAATCTCACAAACAAAATTTTAAGTGAAAGAAGCAATATACACATGGTATGGTTTCATTTATATAGACTTCAAAAATGCTGAAACAATCTCTATTATTTAATGTGCATGCACAGGTAGTAACACCAAAAGAAAAGTAAGAAACACTTTATCAAAAAATCAGAATGGTGATTATTTCTAAATGCCAGGGAGGGGATAGTAATTGAAAAAGATACAGAGAGGACTTCTGGGGTGTTGCTGGCAATGTTCTATTTCTGGATCTGGGTGATGGTTAAAATGGCGTTTGTTTTAATTTTTGTTAAAATGACATGTTTTATGCACTTTTCTGATTTTATTATATCTCACATTTCACAATTAAGAAAAACAAAGGAAAAAAGGACATAAACTTATTGTTTTTATGAAACTCCAAGTAGGACAGTAAAGTCACTGTGCATGCAGAGTATACAAGATGAGTCAGATGTTCAACATCTCAAACCTCTTGAAATGTTACACAATAAAACTGTACAAAATTTTCTGCGTAACGTGTGTACCAGGCCTATAGCAAACATGTATGTCTTGACTACTCCCCTAATCCCACCAAGTTCATAATACACATCTCTATATGAAGGGAGGAGAGAAGAGAAGAGGGGAAGAAAAGGAGAGACTATTATTAGTTTGAGATGGCTCACTAGTTTCTGATTCCTGTACCTAATGAGGACTGACAATAATTCCTGTTCTTGGGTTCCAGGGGCTACTCTGAATCATATCTTTTCCTATTTTATTTGTGTTTAAGTGGGTTTTCTTCCTAGTAGGGGTTTTGACAGAGACAAGTCATGGGCTCAACTATTTGTTCTATTACTGACTTTAGAAATCAAATAACAGCTCAATGATAAATGTCTCATTTCCAATTTAGGAAATTGAGGTAACAAACAGGTTTTTTATTCATAAGAAAATTTTAAAAACTAATGATAATACTGATTAAAATGTCCTACCATCACTTATCTTTAACTTACCCTCAAAGTATGGTGCTCTTGTGCTAATAATATTCTTAGTTCTTCGTGTAGTGTTATAACTTCCAGAAACTGTCCCCATAAGGCCATCAGAAGTGAGCAAAGTTGTGCAAGATTCATATTTATAAGTTCTGCCAGTTCATCAGGATTTTCTAATTTCTGAAATGACAAAAAAAGTAAACTTAATTGCTTCCTGACTTACCGTAACATGCCTAAATGTAATATATTATTGAGAATATTAATACAAATGCAAATTTGCAGTTTTAAAAAGAAATAACTTAAAACAGTATTTCAATATCTAAGATACTTTATTACTGAAATAATATTATCTGTGACACAGTGGTTAAGAGCTCTGCTGCTAACCAAAAAGTCAGCAGTTTGAATCCACCAGCTGCTCCTTGGAAACCCTATGGGGTAGTTCTACTCTGTCCTGTAGGATCGCTATGAGTGAGAATCGACTTGATGGCAACGGGTTTGTAATCTAAAATTACAAAGTAGGGCTCTATAGAGCATGATCAACTTCAAAATACAAACACTAAAATATTGGAAAGTTTAAACACAAAAGATGGGGTCATATGGGGTTGCTGTGAGTTGGAATAGACTCAACGGCAACCAACAACATGCACAAATATTGATGAAAGTTGTAACAGTTTGAAAGATAATGAAATCTTAAGGTAAAATTTTCCCCCACTCAGCTAAGTAAGGCACTTAAAAATCTTTAGTTTTTTGGAAAGAAGTGAGATACTTTCTAAAATACCTCTCTTACCTCGGCTCCTGTGCTCTTAGGTTCTATTTTGCTTGTGGTAACCCTGTTATAGAGTTGTCAAACTTCTTTCTTTTTTTCTCCTAACAATTCATTCATTATTTATTGAACATATTTTAAATGCTAGGGCCTACATTCTACAAATACAAAGCTTAATATGAATATCTCATAGTCTAGTGAGGAAAGAAAAATAGTTAAACAATACAATACACTATAAGGAGTACTGTGATAAACCAAAAAAAAAAAAAAAACCCCGATGCCGTCGAGTTGATTCCAACTCATAGCGACCCTATAGGACAGAGTAGAACTGCCCCAGAGTTTCCAAGGAGCGCCTGGTGGATTCCAACTGCCGACCTTAACCACTATGACACCAGGGTTTCCAAGTATTCTGATAGTGGTATTAAATTATACCATTAATTTTAAATATTCAGCTAAACTGATCATAAAAGTTAAGTGTACTGACTAAATCATACTATGAAATGTAGACTCTTCTAAAAGGGCAATTGGTTTTCTTTGAATTGATAAAATAAAGATTTTTGAACGAAGAATAATAAAGGAGTATAAACCAGAGGGAATGCTTTTCCTGGAATAAGTATTTTTATTATGCTAGAATTTTTAAAAATTCAGGCAGATATATTTTAGGCATATATCTCGCTACAAAATTTGTCTTTAAATTACTAGGAACACTAGTAAATCTACATCTTACACTTGCAGATAGATGCAGAGTTCATTTTCTTATTCTAAAGAGGACAGGAGAAGCAATCCAGGCTGAGACTGAAAACCCCTCCCAAAATTTCGATTACCACCTATACACTAAACCAGTTGCTGTTGAGTTGACTGACTCACGGTGACCACATCGATGTATGTTAGAGCAGAACTGTGCTCCACAGGTTTTTCAACGGCTGATTTTTCAGAAGTAGATCACCAGGCCTTTCTACCACAATGCCTCTGGGTAGACTTGAACCTCCAACCTTTTACTTGACAGCCAAGCATGTTAACAGTATGGGCCACCCAGGGACTCCAACTATACACTAATGACCTTCTATATTTTTATCTTTGGATCACATTTCTCTCTTGAGCTCTAAAGCTATTAATCCATTACCCACTGAATGACCATACATGAATGTGAAAAGAAAGTCACTTAAATTCAACATGTCCCGAATTGTACTAATTATACCTCCACTCTCTTTATCTAAATTTTTAAAAAATTCCTCAAATACTGCTTATTAAAATAAATATTATAGTTATTCTCAGTTTATTTTTATTTCTTTTTGAAGCCTACAATTGAAGAGGCTTTTTTCTCCCCCTCAAATGAAGCTTCCATTTATTTATTCTAACTCAGAGAAGAAATAAAACAAAAATTCAGCAAAATAAACAAGGGAAGGGATCATGTTCTATTCACTTAGAATCTCTCACTACTGGTACACAACAGTCACTAAATAAATATTTCTTGAATGAATAAATTAACAGATGAATGAGGCTTTAGGTAAGAAAATAACTCCCAGAATTTATGGACAAACTAAGAAAATGTTTACAAATTCCAGAATTCTGAAATGGAAGTTAATACAGTCAGCATATGATGAATATTGATTCATCAACATATGATGAATCTAAGATGTGTTTTGTCCCAAGAAATGATTTATAAATGTAGTAGAGGTGAAGCTAACAAGTGTTTCACGTTTCTCTTAAAAACAAACTAGAAGACTGAAATGTAGTGTAAAATAAGCTGAAACCTACAGTGTTGCCCCAGGAATGGTTTTAATGGAGTTTAGAAAAAGAAGAGTGGATAAGTATTTGACAGTAATTAAACAGCACTGTGTAAGGCAAACAATACTATACCTAGCATAGTCTATACACAAGTAGGAATAATTGTCTAGGCTTTATCTCCGGCTGAATAAAGCACACAATTCCTTTTCTCTCCTGAGGGCAAGTTTATTTAGATACTTTGTAATTATTACTTTCATTCTCAAGGAATCATGGCACCAAGGTTCTAAGAGAGGGCTTTAGGACTTTCATTAATAATGAAATTAATAATGAAAGTATCCCCTTTACGTACAGTGAAATCTATGAGAGCTGGAACTTAAAGGGAATGCCTTGTTTTTCTGGGTCTTGCAAGTTTGCCGCCTTTGACAGGGTGCAGACTTACCACTTTTCTATCACTTGTTTTAGTGGAAAATATTTGAGTTTTCCTTCTCTGACAGGTTTCCACCTTACACAGGTTCCGGCTTTCACAGGTATTAGTGTATAAATAAATTACTCCTCTGCTTTACATAAATCTTTTGCTATACATGTCTTAGATATAAATAATAAAATTCCTTTTTATGTTAAAAGGAGCCCTGGTGGTGCAGTGGTTAAGAGCTTGGCTGCTAACCAAAAGGCTGGCTGTTTGAATCTGCCAGACACTTCTTAGAAACCCTACGGGGCAGTTCTACTCTGTCCTATAGGGTCACTATGAGTCAGAATTGACGGCAATGGGTTTTTTAAAATTTTATGTTAAAAAAGGAATTAGAATCAAGTTTGACAAGACTTTTTATAGCATAAATGTATATACATAAATGTGAGAATAAGACTACATTTGTATGATATTTGTTTCAAATACCATTCATTATCTTATGTGGATATATATTCTTTCATACCATTCACTGATTTTGTTTGATTAAAAAATATTGCTTATTTTAATAAACTGGAAAATAAGGGAAAGCAAAAAAGAAAATAAAGTTAACTTTGTGTACAGTCTTCAATTTTTTACAGTTATATACAGAGACAAAAAACAAGATTCATATATAGTTTTATGCTGTTTTCACTGAATAACACAATATGAGCATATTCCTAAGTCATCAAAAATTTGTTAAAAGCACCATTTTTAAGGTTTTAAAACTTTTTTTATATTATGAATGTCCCATCCTTTGTTTAACCATTCACCTACCTTCAGACATTTATTTAGGCTAACATTTTTACAATATTATAAATCACATTATAATAAACATCTTTGTATGAATCTTTGAAAACTTCTTTGAGATCAACTAGTTGACAAGTAATTCTCTTTTTGGTTTTGGATACATACTGCTAAACTAATCTCCAAAAAAGATCTACGAGGTATGTCACTACACCTCTACAACCATTATACGGTTATTAGAAATTCACAGCCAATTTGATAGATTAAAACTGGTAGCAGACTATTTAAATTTTTGCTTCTTTGATGATTAGTCAGACTGAATATTTTTCATATATTAAGCTTTTTCGAAATTGAGTATCTATCCTATGCTAATATGACAAATGAGGAATTACAGGGTTTTTTTACTGATTTGTAAGAGCTCTTTAAATATTAAAGTCACTGTATCTTCTATCTCTTCTATCGCCAAAATTTACCCTACGTTGTTGCCATTGAATTTTATGATATCCATTTACATACTGAAATTTAAATACTTATAAGTAAAATAATTTATTAGCAATACATAAATATATTTGTACTTAAAAGAATTATATATATATATATTTTGAGTCCCGTCCCTCATGACACTCTTTGCTGTACTGTTAACAGTTTGGAATATGTGTGTGTATCCTTTCTTTTTCTTCACATTTATTATGAGTTTTATTTTTTTTCCTGAAAAAAATCAATACACTAAAGGAGGTGGCTGAGAATGGATTGAGAATAAAAAGGGATTAATAGTAATCCTTCTATTTTAATTATTAAAGAAGCAGAAAACTACTGTGAATACTGTCAAGGACAGAGCAGAGAGAAGAAACTTGGTATCTCTTTTGCCTAAAATGTACAAACTAATTAAGGGCAATTACATTCAGCCCTGGGTATCAGCCTCCACAGAATCTTTAAAATGGGGCATTCTGTAAGAATTTAGTGCATGTATCCTTTCAAATATTTTATATGTCATCACATAAACTCTATCAAACACATACATACATAGCTTTTGTTTTCTTGTACATACATGGAGTCATATTATTTATATTTTTTCCCAATTTATTTTTTTCTATTAGTATATCTCGAGGAGCTTTTTAGCATGAAGGAAGAATCTGTTATCAAGGATCAATAAATATTTCTTGAATTAAATAATACATGGAGATTAACCTATTTATTTTAAATGGCTACAAGGAAGTTTTTAACAATTAATGCTACAATTCTTTATATTCATATTTGTGCACATGTATGAGTACTTTTCAAGAATAAATATCTAAAAACTGCTGTGTGGGAAGGAATGTACATTTAATGTTTTTAAAATAGACTCTGCTGAACTGATCTCAAAAAATGTTGTACCAATTTATACTATCACCAACACTGTTATGAAGATTTTTGTTTCCTTATACCCTTAACAACATTGGAGATTAGCAGTCACTTTAATTTTTGCAATATCATGGGCAAAAAAACAATATTTATTGTTTA